AGGAAGGAAGGAAGGAAGGAAGGAAGGAAGGAAGGAAGGAAGGAAGGGAGAGTGGAAGGAAGGAAAGAAGGGAGGACAGAGGAAAGGAAGGAAAGGAGAGGAGGGGAGTCTGCTATCACCAGAGAACATTTTGCACAGAAGTTAGGCTTCAAATAGAAATCATTTCAGAGGTGCACTGCTGGGTACTTCTCCAGGATGCCTTGACAAATGTTCAGGTGGTAAACAGCCTGAGAGAAATGGGGCCGATAAAATTAGTTCAAATGTTCATAGAAAATAAACTTGACACTACTGAGACACTTGATAGGTATGTGTCAGCATATGACAACCATGCCAACTCTTCAAAGTACGAAGACCTGATCCCAAAATGCACCGTGCGTCTTTTTTTCAAAGCCATCACAACCAAACCAAACATTTAGACAACATAATACACTAAAGGCACCATGGAGATCACCACACTGAAGGTTGATAGTGAAGGTCAGAAGTTATTAATATCTATTTGAAATTTGCTCTTGTGGTTTATGATCTCATCCCAGTCACTTCATTGATTTATAACATGGTAATCCATCACCATCATTCATTATCCTCTGCTTCTATTCAGGGCTCTGACCCAATCTGTTCCTTTCTCCATATTTGCTCTCAATAACACATGGGCATTCCCCCAAGGCCCCATCTTGGTTTCCCCAAATCTGTAACTCTGCTGTTTCTGCCTTTGTTTATTCTGGGGAATGCTTTCTTAGGGATTTCCCCAATGTCTAAATTAGCCTTGGGTTATTTTTGCCAGGGAGTCAATACCTTTTCATCTGTTTAATTCCTGTGGGAAGTAGGAGGAGCTCAAAAGTAGTAGGACCCCAAGCCATTCTTTGGTTCAGCCTCTCATGGTATTTTCCTTCACAAAGCCAGACCTCCCTTTTGTTCTAAAGAAATACAACCCCACTCTCAACCCCTACCCTCCAACTTTGAGCTGCTGAAGTGCACGAACTTCTAAAATGATTCTGTATCATACTCGAATCATTGTACCCAACTTAGTGGATAATCCTTGGGGCAGAGGCCAAGCTTCATGCAGAATGCAGCTGGTAGTAGCTTGTTTGGTAGCAAGCATGGGCAGGTGGCTTGTCTTGCCACATATCTACAGATATCATTCGGCAATATAATAGCCATTCATAAACAAGGAATTTTTTTTTTAAATCAACCAAGAAAAATTTTCAAGGCTTCTGCATTACAATATTTCTTAGTTTCTAGAAAACTGCTGTTTGGGCATAGTCATTCATTGATTGTCAGTCTGTTTATTTATTGTTTTTATGGAATGGTTTCCTATTATAGTTCTGGAATTTAAATATTGCATAGATTCAGGGGGTTGGAAATTCCTCAAAAATCCATTCAGTTAATGCATAGAGTAATTCTACATTTTGCATTTTATTTTTAGAACTGGAAGGGAACATCTAGTTTCTCATTTTAAAGATGGGGAAAATAACCACCACAACAACAATAATAGTAGCTGGCGTTCATATAGCTCTTTAAAGTTCACTAAGTGTTTTATATATGTTTTATCCTCACAACAACCTTGTATCCACATTTTACAAATGAGGAAACTGAGGTTGAGAGAGAGGCCAAGTGACTTGCCCAGCTAGCAAGTAACTGAGGTAGGATATGAACACAGGAATTTGGGACTCCAAGTTTAGTACTCTATTCATTGCACCACCTTGCTACCACTAGGAAAAAAATGAAGGGGTTTGACTACATGACCTCTAAGGTCTCTTCCAGAAATAAAATTCTATGATTAAGATTATCCTATGAATAAGAATTTGAATGATAAGAGTTTTTGAATATGATTCATTATTTTATGCAAAATAAGGATAAGCCAGGTAAGAAGCATCACTTCTCTACATTCAAATGTCTTGTGCATTTTGCTGCCATTAAATGCATGTATTGTCCTTGATCTACACCTGAACTGGTCCTTCCAATGCCATTCCTTCTACTTATGGAGCGCATTCAAACAGGTATACAATTGCATTATCATTTTAAAATAGGAGTTTTTAACCTAGGACCCACGACCTTTTAAAAATATTTTGTTAACTATATTTCAATATACATGGTTTCTTTTTAAATCCTATGTATTTTATTTTATGCATTTAAAAACTTTCTGAAAAGGAGTCCATAGACTTCACTAGACTGCCAAAGGGGTCCATGATACACAAAGGTTAAGAACCCCTGCAGTAATAGCTTACATTTATGGAAGAATTCTACAGAGTCCACTGAATGGTGCTATTCAAAGAATGACTAACAAAGTCTCGGGACCCAAGTACAAAACCCATCAATGATACTTCCTTGCTGTGTCATCTTGGACAAGTCATTTCCCACCTTTTTGGACTTCTGTTAC